AATAAAATTTTGGATTTAGTTATTAATAACCATAGATTATTTTTAACAAATCTAAGTATTCCACTTGTAGATTAATCCAGTTTAAAAAGATGACCCTCCATATGAAACAACTTCTATGTAATCACAGTAAACTGTCTCCACACCATTGAGTAGCTCTATACACAGATGACACTACTGTTATTCCTTATTGGACAATTGTTTGTTGGATTTAGTTGTTGAATCTAATAAATTATGAATTTATGCGTCTCTGCTAATGTTTAATTTATTATATATAAATTGTGTTAAAATATTAAGTTTTTATTATATTTTAAGATGTTTTTCCTTTTATTATGATTTATCATTTTTTCTTTGTTTAAATAATTAATGTATACATTTACATATTTGTTACAGAGACTGCAATTGTTGACTTTAAAAGGCCATACCAACCTGTCCAACAGTATCGATGTCATATCTGCTGTCTAAATGTAGCATTAAGATTATATTTATATATACATTAATTGTAAATGAACGACATTTTTAGAAATAATTTTATTAAAAGTTTTTATAATGCAAAGTTTATTTTTTTCTTCTTTTGTTACTCACCTAGAAAACTTCATTTTATTTTTCATTTCATTTAAAATAAAAGAAGTTAATAATCCATTTAAAATTTTAAATTGATGAACTACAATACGATAAAACTATTATAGCTCTTCTTCCCCAGTTCTCATTACTGAGTAGGGAAGATCATCTGATCAATGGCAGATGTGGGAATGGTGGAAAGTAGTTTTCAAATTCATCCTAATTATTAATGAGCACTGTTGGACTCAGACTTGAGAAAATCTCCATATGCATCTCAGTTGAATGGCAATTATTGGCATGCAAAAATCAATTTTCGACAAGCAAAGGAACCAATTATTGACACAATAATCAACCATCATTATCAAGTTTATTTTCAACAAAATATTTTTATTTATAGGTTAAATAAAATTATCACACATTAGTGTCTGCACACTTGGAAACTTGTTACCCATACCTAGATATCAAAAAATGGTATGAGAAAGAAATTATATACTATAGTGGGTAGGTATACTTTGGTACATTTCAATCAATACTTATAGAAAAGATAAAACTCTTTGGTTTTTCTTATTCCCAAACACTAGAGGCTTTGGCAATTTGGTAACTATGTTCCACTCTTTGACTTCATTTTTTGACATAAGTCACCCTCACTTATTGGCCGATCTGTGTCCATTTCTGCCCAAATTTTGACTTCTTCCATGTTTTTCTTTTCATATATTACACTTCGTATCAATAATTGAGGAAACTTATCATCTTGAAGATCCAATTATTGACACCTCTAATACCTGTTGTTTTAATCAAAATTCACATTTGAAAATGATATCACACCATCAGAAAATGGTAAAAAAAAATGTTTCAAAGGAATTAATAAAGTTCATAAACATTAAAGGATGAGGTAAAATAGGTAAAATGTTGCCTCACCTTCTTAACAAAATCTGTAAGATTCCAGTGACTGTCATGAAATGATAGGGAATATGCGTTTCCCACCTAATTTATCACCCAATAGAGACTTCATCTTGGCGGCAATTGGTAGCTGATTAATGCACTTGTGAAATGTTGCCAAGTTTGAAATTCTACACAAACCTAAACGCCTATTTTATAAAGTTTAAGTTACAATTGTCAATAATTGGTAATGTGTCAATAATAGTTGTCATTACCCTACAGTACAATGATTTTATTCCATAAAAACTAAAAGGGAAAATTTCACCTTAAATCTTTATAGAATATTGAATCTCATTCGTCTTACTTGAGAAGTGGTATTAACAAATATATGGGATGTCTAAGTTCACTTTTATAGCACCCATTGGGAAAAATAAAAGAAATGTACCAAGTACATATTGAACGTGAAGTGGATTTAAGTTTAATTGCGTTCAATACCTTTCATTCTAAATCTTAGCCATAAGTAAAGTACGACTCATGTTTTTAAGAAAACTGCTGATTTTGTGCAGTAATCATTTTCACTTCAACTGTGTAAGATTACTTTAAACTAGTCTACAATTTAACTTAGAATGATTGCCACAAAATTGTTCACTCCTCTGAGCATTTATTTATAAGTCAGAATTTTTTTTATGGTTAATATGTTTTTTAATAGGATGTATTAGAATTTATGAGTAAAACAGCATTAATTTTTAATGTTAGATATATTTAAATTTTTTTCCGGACGGAATCCAGTCAGAGCTGTTTAAATGTGGAGGTGAAGAACTCAAGAAAGCTCTGCATGATTTAATGCTGACCATCTGGGAGAGGGAAGCTATGCCTACGGAATGGGCAACAGCCATTATCTGCCCAATACATAAGAAAGGAGATCAAACAGAATGCGCTAACTATCGAGGAATCTCACTCCTTTCGTGTGCTTATAAGCTGCTCTCTAACATTCTTTTTGAGAGGACCTCCCGTATTCTGAAAAGGAACTGGGGAAATATCAGGCTGGATTTCGAAGAGGACGCTCAACCACTGATCAACTGGTCTCTCTGAGGATGATCCTAGAAAAGACTATGGAGCGTAAGGTAGTCACCCACCATTTATTTCTGGACTTTAAAGCAGCATACGACAGCGTTGATAGAACGCAACTATACTGTGCCTTGGAGGAGCTAAGCATCTCTCAGAAGCTCGTACGCCTAATCAAGATGACCATGGACAGCTTGAGATGTAGATTACGCGTCGGTTCTGATGACTCCGAAGAGTTTAAAGTGAGTAGTGGGGTTAGGCAAGGGGATGCCCTCACCTGTCTATTGTTCAACTTGGCAGAGGAGAAAGCTGTAAGAGACTCCGGTATTCAGACCAACGATATAATCTTCAATCGCCTGACACAGATTCTTGGTTTTGCTGATGATATTGACATAATAGGTAGGTCTGAACGGGCTCTCAGAGAAGCGTTTATAGGCCTTGAAGCAGCTGCAAGACCACTTGGTCTAGAAGTCAACGAGAGGAAAACTAAGTATATGAGAGTTGGTGGTGAGGTGGATCTGAACTCTCCATTTGAGGTAGGTTCTTTTAAGTTTGAGAGAGTGAAAAGTTTTATATACATTGGGTCTGAAATTAATAGCAAAAATGACATGGCTCAAGAAATACAAAGAAGGATCACGGCTGCCAATAGATGTGTCTTTGGACTTGGCCAACACTTAAGAAGTAGGTAACTCTCAAAGAAGACCAAGCTGATCATATACAAGACCCTTGTTCAGCCTGTTTTGACATATGGCTCAGAGGCTTGGACGATGACTAAAAAGGATGAGATGAAGCTGAGTGTGTTTGAGCGAGGAGTCCTCAGAAGGATTTATGGTCCAGTAAAGGAGGGTGATGTCTGGAGGAAAAGAAAAAATAGGGAGCTCAGTTCTCTCTATGCAGACATCGACGTAGTCACGTATATTAAACTGGCCAGACTAAGGTGGGCAGGGCATGTGGCCAGAATGAGCATCGTTGAAATACCAAAAAAAATAATGATGGAGGAGCTGCACCTCGTAAGACGGGTAGGAAGGCCGAGGACGAGATGGTTGGACAACGTGGCCTATGATGCGAGAACGCTGCTTGGTGTACGGAACTGGAGAGCTGCAGCAGAAGACAGAGCCAACTGGCGGAGGCTCTTGGAGGAGGCCCAGTCTCGGTAACGGGATGTTGTGCCACATATGATGATGATGAATATGTTTTTTAATAGGATGTATTAGAATTTATGAGTAAAACAGCATTAATTTTTAATGTTAGATATATTTAAATTTATTATAAAATTTAATTTTCAATGGGACCTCTGTAAATTTTGTTTACAGTAATATTGTAATTTTATACTTTGTTTACTCTAATAAAAAAATTTAATTTTTTTTTTAACAATTACTTATTTGAACAGATATATCTAATCATCGAGTAAAAAGTTATGTCACTCAGCCTTTAATGGAATAAATAGGTCTCACCCCTTATCTGCTAATATAATTTTTTATGAGGAAGTGAATCATTATTTTATGTTTATAAAGTTTTTATAATAATAATTAACTTTTTTTTTTAATTTGAGGAAAAATAGTTATATCCTACAATTGGTTAAACAAACAGCATTTCTTTATTTATCTGACATTGATTTTTAAAAATCACCAGAAAATGCCATTGATTTATATATATATATATATATATATATATATATATATATATATATATATATATATATATATATATATATATATATATATACGAAGAAATTTATAAGATGACAAATAGTAATATTTCTATTCATAATGCTCAGACTTAGTCATACAAAAAAGTAAACATTCACATCAAATATGGAAATAAAATATTATTACCTTATATTCTACTTAAATGACTCTAGAATTTCCCAAGTCAAAGTTTTTTCCCCTTGAATTCTGTATATTTTCAGCTTAGTACTTGACTTCTTCCTTGATTAGTAGTCCATACAGGTCACATCTAGTTCTTCCTGTAGGCTCATGAAAATGTAATTAATTTGAGTTATACAGAATAATCTTTAGAAACATTTTCATTATTTTGATAAAACAAGAATAAAGAAGGAAATGTCAGAATAGAACATTAAATTTAGTTCACTGATAATCATGATTTTTGAAAGCAATATTTAATACAAAGTAGTAAAAATATAAGATTTATATTTTAATCAGTATCGTGATGGTTAATATTAATATCTAGCAATTATACTGCTCTATTTCTATAGATAAAAACAATTATAATTTAATTTTGAAATGCTTCACCAAGACAGCTTCTTCAATATTACCTTACGAAATATGAATGTATTATTTTATAGTTTAATTTGTCTAGTCAATTTTGAAAATTTACGGTGAATTCAGCTTTAAAGAAAATTAATTGATGTAAAAAGGAAGTTCTGAAGTAAGGTTCTAGACATTTTGCCAAATGCAGTGGGCTGTATCTCGGAGCGCTAGTGGCGCGCTCTCCCAGATACCTATAAAACCAAAGTTGTAAACAGACTGGCACTGATACTTCATTACTGCTTTCTTAGTCCGGTTGTGACGACCGTCTCTCATGACATTACGCTCTGTGTATCTATCGGTAGTTTAAGTGTTAAATATTAATAGCATTATTAAATCAGTTTAATGAAACGATTTAGTGTTTAAATATAGAATCATTTAATAAAATGGCTGAGGTCTTGTCTTTTGACATGACGAACACTAGTGATAGTGATGTTTGGTTTTTAGATTTGTACTCTTCTGTTAATTCTTTCAGTGGACCAAATTACAATCCTTATATTGGATCCGTTTTAGGATCTATACTTGTAGGTCTTAGTGGAATTTTTCCATTACTAGTCATTCCAATTGATGGAGGGGTCCATTTCAACAAAGGAGGTAAATATATTCTGTTCCCGCTTTTTTTTTCGTTTAGCTAATGTTTTTAGCATAGGCATAACAAAATATACTCAACAAATATAGTCACCAGAAGATGTGAAATATCTTATGTTCAATTTTATCATTGTACTCTGTTCAAGTTGAGATAACAAATATTTTGAGATTAGAGAGGAGTTAAAGCCATATCTTGTAAACTTTTCAGTCACTGAAAAAGGATTTAATATATTAATTAAAGATTGAATTTTTACTTTTCACCTGTGATTAAATAATTTAGGTAGAACTTATGAACAGAATATTTTTGTAAGTATTGTTGTGAGATCTGAAATTTTAGATTTATTATGAGCCATTTGATATTGTGGTCTTAAAAGTAAGAAAAAAAAAATTGTTTTTCATGTACTTGGAAAACAAAATTGCAACAACAGGATCGTTCATAGAACATGTATAATGTTCAGTATAGTGTGATTCCTGTTTGAAAATTACATTTTTATAAACATATTTTATTTATTCATGAATGGTATGTTAGCTCGATTTGGCAAATAGACAATTTTTAATATATTTTGTTGGTGCACATCCTTTACATTATCAGTATGAATTATCTAATCGAATATACTATAATTCCTGTTTTATTTTCTTAATTTTTTTTTTGTCTAAATGAAGTTTTAAGATTTATCCATTTTTATTTGCTATAACACTAAGTATTAGTGTTTAGGAACTGCAGAAATCTTACCCTTAAAAAAACCACTAACAACTTCCATGTATTATTTTTTTAAATTTATGTATCTAATAATAAGGATAGTGTAGGAGGAACTAAAAAGAATGTGCATACAATAATGTTTGTTAAGTAGCATTTATATATTTACTATTTTTATGTATTAAAAAATATGAATAATTGATTATTATTACACTGTAGAGTTTTGATAGATGTGCATACTACATATTTTTTACTTTCATGTTTATAAAGGGTGTTTTCAATAACACTTCTATTTTTCAGCTCAGTGAGCTGCTAAATTGTTTTCTTCTGGTTTTCTGGTCTATTGGTTGATTCAATTATAGATAAGTTTGACAAAATATATTTATAATAATTCTCAAAATAATCTATGTTTCTTTTTCCTATCAAAACTATGCTTTAGATTAAAATATGTATAGAACATGAAGAAGGATAATATAATACTAAAATGAATTACTCCTATGTGGGTGTATATATTCCTGTTTTAATAAGAAAAAAATAAATGTATACCTACATCACAGTATTGTGTTCTTATCTGAGGCTCACTTCCCTTTCCTTTTTTAAAAAAAACTCTTATTATTTTCTTTAATTATTTATAAGGATGAAATGAATATTACCATTTTCCCATTATATTTGTATGTATTTTTAAACACTATTACAGATTGGTTGAATTTTTTTTTTTTGAAATTATATTATAATAATATGCTGTATAAATAACAGTAATCTTCTCAAATTAAGCAAAATGTGCATTGCCTACTTTAGAGACCACTTTATGATAGATTCCAAATGATTTATTATTACAATACATCAAAGAAAACCTCAAATTTTTATGACTCCTGTTTTTTTGTTGATGCAAATAGAACATTTAGTGAATAAAATAATGATGTAATATTGGAATTAGGAAACAGTACAAATATACAATGTTCTTAGAGTATTATTATTTTTAGGTATCAAGGTATTAAAAAAATATATAAAAGCTGAAACAATTAAAATAGATATCTATTTTTAATTTATGCCCTAAATGGACAGTATGTACCGCTTTATAAATTTTTATTATTCAAAACTTGTAAAATAAGTTTTAAAACAATTATAAATTAAATTTAAATTTTTTTTTATATTTCATCTTATAAATTAAATTTTATTTTATGTTCATATAATAAAAGTAAGAATATATATATTTTATTCTGAAAATTTATCAATTATTATTTTTAAAATCCTTTTCGGTAAATTAAAATTTTATTTTTAAAGCTTAAGACGTACCTATTTTATTTATTTATTATGGAGGAATGAGGGGGAGGAAACAGTGGTTCAATTTTAATTTGACACAATATAGTACATTATCTTCCATATTCTATTTTGTTACCAAAGTTTGATGTAGAAATTGAAATGAAGCAGCAATTTATAATCAAGAGTTGCTTTAGTTGTATTTTTTTGCCCTCATGAATTTTTCTCTCAGTAAATTTTGTATTGAATGTATATTTATAGTTTTTCTGTTTAACTATTTGTATTTTAAATTTATTAATAGTTAACATCGTTTACAGCTGGAAGTGAAAGGCTGAGATTACTACTTAGTTTTGCTGTGGGTGGACTTTTAGGTGATGTTTTTCTTCATCTTCTTCCTGAAGCTTGGAACTGTGAAGACAGTTCATATGAAAGCAATAAAGGTAACTGTTTTGGAATAGTATGAATTTCACTTTTTTCTTTTGGATTATATAAGATTAACAAATAACAAAAAAAAAAAATGTATGCTGGTGGTTTGGTTGTAAAACATTTATTATAATTTAATTAGGCAACATTCTTCCCATAAGTTGAATTTTGAATACTTATTTATTATAATAGATTAGATGATTTTAAGTTTAAATCTGGAATATTTTCAATTACATTTTACTGTGAATTTATCAGATCAGGTGGGTAGTAGACTCTTCACTGGTTATAGGAAGGAAAAAACTCCTTCATAATTGATTCATTCAAAATATTTGTTTATTTTATCATGATTAATAGTAAAATTATTGGTAAGCCATTAAGCCTTATTGACTGATATATTTGCTTTTTCATGAACATTGGTGATGATTTCTTATTGGTCATTGTCTTGCTTATGTGGTTTTCAATTTTTAGTCCAACAAAATGTAGTTTGAACTGACTGTGTTTTTAGGGAAAGAGATCATACTTAGGTAATATTAATTCAACTATATTTTTAATTAATGTGAAAATAATATCTTAAAGCGATTTTTCTCCTGGCAAGAATTTTTCTCATTGTAACCGATTTTATTATATTTAAAGTTTTGGAATGTTATACCAAAATATTATTTAATATTTTTAAATTTTCTATTTGGGCTTTTAACTGGGGAAAAACAATTAGTTCTTCTTAGAATTTATTTATAAACGGCGTGTGTTGAGAAGCTTCTGCGTCGTAGACCAGCTGTCCTTGATAAGATTCCCTTGTCTCAAAGACAACGCCATACTTATGTTTTGCATTTTAGTTCTTTTGAAAAAAATGTCTTTTGTTTTACTACAGTTATGTGACGTCACATGTATTTATTTTATGTGTTCTGATTCGTGAGGAATGAAATACTTGTTCTAAAAGAATGACAAGAATTCTGGTTTCAATATCTGTCAAGTGGTAAGATAAAAGATAAATTTAGATTACATTTACAATTTTGTGTTAGATTTGAAAAGTGAAAAATAAATTTAAAGCATTAATATCGTGATTTTTTAAATTTAAAGCAACAATGTTATGACTTTCTAAGTGAACTTCAGATATTTGTGAAATTTTTACTTGCCTAGCGATATCGTTTGCTGATCTTTTGGTTCAAGAGGATCTGTGCCAGCTGAGATTTGGCTGTTCCGTCGAAAGGGAAAAAGAGATTTAAATGTAAGACGATCGCACAGATAAACGAAAAGTTTGATAGCCGTGTCCGAGATTTGCCAAGCTTGTGTTTTGATGGAGTATTCTGATGCCCATTTGGTTTCCTGAAACACAATGAGAATTGTAATTATGTTGTTTCTTCATAGAAATGTATTAGAAGCACGTATACCGCGGTCTGCTGGGAACTGCGTGGCCTTAGCATCCCAACCTCTTTAAAGAATGGATTTAAAATGCGTTAGTTAGTCCATTTTTATTTTTTCTTATAACTTTGTTCATAGTCTTGTTGTATTCCCGTATTCATTGATTTTTTAAAAAGTTTATTCGGCTTCCGAAGTTAAATCCACTGTCAAGTTTTAATGTTCGAATTCGGATTTGATTTCGTAATTACCGTTTTGGTAAGATGCTTGGCGTTTGAACATAATTGCATGTTTATTTCATTCAAATACACATTAAAATACAGATTGATTGTAAAACTCAATAAACATGATACTTACTGACTGGATGTCGTTTTAACATAGTTCGATTCTGAAAAGGGACATGATGCATCATGATTATAGCAGCATTTAAGGATGGATTCATCTTGGTGATACCAAAATCGCTGATGTTTTGTATCCTCATTAAGTCCTAAGACGTTAAATTAGTAATCAATGAAGAGAAACATTAGTGGTTATTTTATACAAGAAATTGTTTAATATGAGTGGGTTTTTTTCCTAGTAATAATTAGTTACGTGTTATATTCTTGAGAATGGCAACGTAATCTGGAAATTCAGTCAAAGTAATTACGTTGAGGTTATCCCAATCCTCCACAATCAATGGTGGCGCAGGTGCTCTTGTTGCAATTCGATTTCGTTCTCTCTGGAAATAGCCTCTGTTTCAGCTGTGTGGTGACGCAAGTCGTACTCGTTGGGTGCTATAGAAGGATATTTAAATGGAGAAAGATCTGGTGCGCGCATCACACAACTTTCACTTATCGCTCTATTTCGAAATGCAATTCTGTCTCTTAGCTCTATAGAGGCTCTGGAATAAGTTGTTATAGTTATTAAATGTCTATCACTTTTTACATGTATTTAAATTCTAACGTTTTATCCTTGGAAAGTTTGTCAAGTGAAGATACTTGCTTTTAAATCATCAACATCGATAGGTCAAAACTCGTCACACTAATTGTAAGTGTATAATGTTGTGATTTCTCAAAGGAAATATTTTTTTTAGTAAATCGACGATGTATGCCTAATTATTTAAATACAATTTAAGATCTAAAGTTATTAAACTACAATTAATGTATTTATTTATAAACATCCATGAAATATTTTTATATTCTTCTTCTTTCTCACAAGTACAATGGAGTAGTTTTTTTAAATAATGCCATTGCTTTGATTTGGGGGAATGTACGTTCTTTTTTTTGCAAACTTAAAAATAATTTTAAAATTTTACGTTGTTAGAACAGTTAAGAAATTTCATTTAATTTTCTCGGAAAGATGTTATTTCCGTTAAACAATATTAGTTTTCACAAATTATTATTTATAATTTTTCGTAACTCTCCATCACCTTCTATATTAGAACTCTACATTAACTTTCTATATTAGATATTGTTTTTTTCTAAAATTATCCGCTTTTCAACATTATATAACACATACATTCTAACTATTATTTCCGAAGATTCATTTTCGCCTTGGATAAAGAATTTTCATTTTTTCTCCTTTATTCAATTATCAAATTCTTTCAAAAGCTATATTTAGTCATTTTTTATAGTTACTGTCAATAAGAGAGAGTTATTTTTTAAAAGTAAACCAAACTGAAGATACTTTGGAGGAAGATAAGGAAGAAGGAGGAAGAAAATGTATATGTATATATATATATATATATATATATATATATATATATATATATATATATATATATATATATATATATATATGTATACATTTTCTTCCTCCTTCTTCCTTATCTTCCTCTAAAGTTTATTTATTTATTTATACTCTAAATTTATTTATTTTTCTTCCAGAGTAATAACCGTTATTATAAAAATGTATGTATATATATATATACACATACATTTTTATAATAACGGTTATTACTCTGGAAGAAAAATAAATAAATTATATAAAATTATGTTCAACTGGTCCTTGTAGGACATAAAAAAAATTTTTAATTTTTTAGGGATAATATTTTTATATAGTTTTCTTGACACGTGTTTACATATATATTAGAAATAAATGCGTTATAATTTTAAAAGATTACATGTTTTCATTGTTCAAGTATTCACCTAAGATCACTCACAAAAAGAAGTATGGACGAAAGAAAAAAAAATCCATTTTTTTGGGAGACGGGGAGTGACTCCTGTAAATCCATCAGTGCTTAGCACTAATTTTTGAAATAGCGCATTCTGTACAGATTACTTTTACTGTTGTTAGTAATGATTTATACTTCAATGATTAAGACTATTAACTTCAATTAAGTTGCGATATATGTATTTTATGGTTATCGGTGCTATTGCGTAGAAATTGTGTAACATATTTATGTGTTATGCATTTGCAGTTATACCAGATGTAGCAAGAAAAATTTCTCGTTTATTGAGTTCTTCCCTGTCCTTTCAGCGATTTCATCCAGCTAAACTCGGTGAGAAATCAAGGCACGTAATGAGTTTCGACCCCGCGGGTTAACCGCTTCCTCATCGTGTCTTTTAGACAGGATAATCTTTGTCTGGGATCATTCTGTTACATGGGCTTGCTCAAGGAAGTTCGGGTCCAACGGAGCGGTTCGATTCTAGTCGTAACGTCCTTCTCTCATCTTCAGGTGTACTTCAAAACTTTCGTTACGTGGGGAGTGCGTCAGTGAATGCGACTTGGAGATGCCTTGCTGATCAACAATATTTTAGTAATGAGATCAGTGCATTTGGAAGAGGGTGAAGAAAAATAATATATAATGTAGAGATGGTTGACCATGATATAATATGAGAAGGAATTGATCGGGGGATACGGTCAAATAAATACTAAATTTTTAAAAAGTAGTATTTTTAATTACGCCGACGTTTCGACCCACCTGGTAGGTCTTCATCAGAGCTACAAAAGATACAAAATATATAAGGTACATGGTGAAAATAAAATAAATGAATTATACGTAGATATTAAATAAGAAACAGTGTAGTTACACTGTCACCCACTATATCTCTGATGTTATCTTATTATTTCTTTATCAGACAACTGTTTCTTATTTAATATCTACTTATAATTCATTTATTTTATTTTCACCATGTACCTTTTATATTTTGTATCTTTTGTAGCCCTGATGAAGACCTGCAAAGTGGGTCAGCGTACTTGAAAATACTACTTCTTAAAAATTTAGTATTTATTTGACCGTACCCTCCGACCAATTCCTTCTCAAAAAATAATATATGTATATCAAGACGAGTCTTGGTCTTTCGCACTCAATTTTGGTCTTGGTCTTGCGCAAGAGTCTCGCAACAGTGTTGCAGTTACCTATTAGCTTATTACTTACTATAGAGATATTAGTGTAATTTTTTAGATAGGAGAAACCTAACTAAGCCCGAAAGAAAAATTAGAAGAGTTACATGAAAAAGTATATTGGTTGTACCAATTCTTTACGTATAGTAACTAAAATTGTCAAGTATTAGTAACTATTTTGCATTATTTTTTATTCAAAAAATCGATTTTTTTTTACCTGTCTTGGTCATACAATAGTTAGGCGATCTTAGTCTTGCAAAGTGCAAGACCAAGACCGATTTTGGGCAGCACTAATATATATTGACAATAATATATGTATATATTGGAGGAGGAAATA